CTTTCACTCCAAGCACTCCATGGAACAGTTCCTATCAAGACCCCAAAATGCTACCCTTCGGGTCAGCTTGATAGTCTTTAATGTTCATTATATTCAATTCAGCTCTCATTGTATTTAGCTTATCAGATCCATTTGACCCTCTCCTTTAGAGGCCTTCCTTCACCTGATTTTTCAATATTGCTTTCTAATTCCTCCACACCTCTCTGACCTAAAATATTAGAACAATGAAGCCTCAGTCCTCTTTCTTTCTGTCTCCACTCGCTTGCATAAATATTTTGCTCAGTATTATATTTTAAATACCATCAACATTCCACTATCAAGTTTATATCTTTTCCCTATATCCTGTACTCATCCGTGCTACAACCATTTCTTGAATGAATGGAACAAATTAAGGTAGAAACCTTGTCCATCTTCATGGAGCAGTGTTTGACACGGCACTCAATAGTTTTAATTTTCTGTTAGTCATAAGCACTGTTAAACTAAATATTGCTGTGTGAAATTATAAAAATAAGTGATATTCATTAATTTCTTTAATACAAGCCGGAACAAAGCATTCTCTATTCCAGGTGTACAGACAGGAGAATTGGGTTGTTCCAGTTCTGAGAATGAAAGCATCCAAAGGAAGTGATGAATTAAATATTATTCAGAAGATCCTCAGGCTATTTTTTTCTCATTCTTGTACTATCAGTAAGATGTGGTTAGCAGAACTCTCAGGGACATATTCTTAAGGAAGAACATGAAATAAAAGTAGTCTATGCTACCAATTCAGAACAAAATCAGAAACAAGCAATTGAATGAAGGTTAACATTAACGCCACTCTGAAAAGTTAAGCTTAAAAAGTACAAGCAGAACAAGGATCTAATCTATGTTCCTTTGAACAAGAAAAAATAAATGTGTTAGTTGCTTGAGTATCTAGATCATTTAAGAGTTTCTCAAAGTACAATCCACTTTTTTAAAAGTTTATTCATATCTACATGGATGGATCTCACAGACATAGTATGTAGCAAAAGAAGCCAGACATAAGCCTTAGATATACCCCATGTCTCTATTCAAGAGAAGGTCAAAAGAGGGAAGGAGAAACTTCTCAGGGGAAATGGTGGACATCTGAATTTGGGTGAAAGTTACTGAAGTATGTATATTTATGAAATCTCATTGATCTACATACTTAGGAGCTTCCTATTTTAAGGGATGTAAACCATAACACAATTTAAACAAATAAAATTGATCTACAATGAGTGTTCTGCAAAAGTGGGAGAGAGATAAATATAAACACAATTTTTTACTGTAGGATCTCTTATAGCCTTTAATATGCTAATGTACACTTTATTTCTAAGAGCAAGCTGTAAGATAAGATGCAGTATGTTCCAGATGTATTTGCTCACAGAACTTCCCCCCCACATATATTAATATCTATAAGGTAATAATGTTTCAGAACCCAGAAAGTTTAGCATGGAAAATAATTAAACAACACCTGCAAATATTACTGCATCCGTTAAAAACAAATAAACATCTAATTTTAAGCAATCACTTTCTGGTGAGCACTCCAGAATAAACTAGATATAATAAAATGAATCCTACTCATGTAGTAGAAGAATTCTGCTCAAAATACTAAACTCAGTTTGAGTTCTCAGCCTAAAATTCTTCTGGCAGTAATAAAGTAGCAAAGCCAATTGTCAATTCAAGAGCTGCAACTTTATGCCAAGGAACTTTATGTCATCAACATATAGACAACATTTATCTTCCTGTTCTCTGCAAGACATCCAGTTCATCCAGTGCTGGAGTCAAGGTGTTTAAACAAAAATGTTTTAAAAATAAGTCTCAGGTCAGGGCATTTAGCTCAGTGGTGCTCCACCTGCCTGGCAAGCGCAAGGTCCTGAGTTTGACCCCTGGCACCAAAATAACAAAAACAAAACAAACCAAAAAAATAAGTCTCAGGTTGAGACAGACTTGTGTGTAGGAGGATTTACTGGGGAGAGCTCACTGATAGACACATTTAAGGAGCAAAGCTAGCAGGCCTGGTGAGGAGGTACTTATCTGTGATTCCTCACAAGCAGAGACCTTGGCACATCATGTGGGGAACCTGGAGAAAATGGGACCCCTCTTGAAAGGCTCCTAGCCTTAAAACCATAGCAGAACTCAGTGGTGTGCTGGCTGTCCAAGGAAGAGGCACAATCATGAGCAAAGGAGTTTCTTTGGCTGAAGGTAGTTTTTACAGGGAGAATTTGCTCAGAGCCATCAGGGTTCTGACCTGAAAGAAACTGTTCCTACCAAATCTTAGTCTTGCACTACTATTGTATAGGCACTGTTTAAAAATCACCTAGCTAGGCATGGTGGCACAGGCCTCAGGAGGCTGAGGCAGGAGGATGGTGATGAATTTCAAGCCAGCCTGGCACCATAATCAGTTTAAGCCCAGCCTGGATTACAGAGCAAGGCCTTGTCTGAAAAAGCTAAGCAAAAACAAAAACAAAAACAAAAAAATCAGCAGCCAAATGGAGCCCATATTGTTTTGTCTGTAGCAAATAATCATAAAACTGCAATAAGAACTGCAAATAATTTTAGATAGTTACTAGTAGGCATTTCACTGTGTACATAAGAAATTCACTGACTAGTTACACCATGACTAGAAGCCCAACTGTTCATAATGTTTTGAGAACATTAGACTTCACTTAGGAAAACAGAAATCCATAACACAAAATTTAACATCAAGAAGATTTAGAATGACTTTCCAACACCAGAGTGTTTAAATAACACTGACTTTTGCCCATTTAAATTAAATTAAAATAACACTACATTGGGCAAATTAATGAAAAAAATCAGAAATTGTAGGTTTCTCCCTAACTCCTTTCAATATATGTTAACAATTAAAAAACATCTCCTGAGAACATCATGAGTGTATCATGCTTGCTATTATGAGCAGACATGTAAATAGGTAATTATAAATCAGCCACATATTCATTCAGTATATTTAAGCAGCAACCACATGGCCAGCCTTGAACAAGAGAGACATAATTTTTGCATTTATGGGGATTGCATACAATGAATGAGCACTAAAATGGAAGGCCAAGAAAGATATCATGGTCTTTGCCTCTATTGCAGAAAGAAGGCCACAGTAAGCTAAATAACAAAAATAAGAATAGCAACTAACCTTTATTGTGTGTTTATAATGTGCCAACACATTTGTAAATTTATTCTGCTATCAAATTAGTCCTCTGAGGTATTTTTGTAATATCTTTTATTTATAGACAAGGGAACTGAAACCTAGAGATTAAATAATGTAAGCAGGTTCAAGAGAATAGTAAGAGGCAGGCCTGGTGTTCTTGGAAGCAACAGTTTCGGAATTGAGCTTCAGAACTGACTAGAATTTTTCCAGATGAACACAAAGAGAAGGGTGGTGAGAGCATTCCAGACACAGGAGACTACAAGGATGGGCACACACACACACAAAAAAAAAATGGTTGGAAACATTCCTGCAGAAAGGCTGCTCATGGTAGGAGAAACAAGAGTTCAGGCCCGGATAGTAGGGACAGTGGGTGAAGAGCAAAATTAAGAAAGGAACCATACACCCCACAGGGAGAGGCTGGAGGAATCTAGGCAAGGAGGCAGTGCCAATTTTGTTGTAATATCAGTGAGAATATTAATGAGTAAAACAGCTAACACATACTAAACATCTTATACACTAGACATGAGCTAAATAAGCAAATTATCTGATTCCAGTTTCACTGCGACCTCAGGAGGAAGGTGCCGCCATTGCCTCTACGGAGCTTGAGCTTGAAAGAAGCTTCTGGACTGCTCGAGGCTCTCCCATTTACGAGTCACAGAGCTGGGACTCAGAACCAAGGAATGGTGATTCCCAAGCCTGTGCTCTCCGCTGCCTGCTGCAGGGTACACACATTTGACGTGAAAGGACAGAAGAACGATAAGAGAGCAGCAAGGGAGAGACTAATTCACTTGCCCTGGAGGCAGATGAAGCAGCCCCCTACCACAGACAGCATGACCAGCTGTGGGCTGGAGCTGAGGAGCTTCGAGAAATAAGTACACCAAGGTAGCAGTGGAGATGGAGTGAGATCTGTCAGGGACAAGAAGGGGAGGGTATTGGATTATACAGCCAGCTGTCCAAAGAGATGGTGGCTCTGTGAACAGGAGAATGAATGGAAATAAGCCCTGAGAAAGGTGGGGGATGGAGAACGGCAGAAAATGCAGAGGTCCGGGACAGAGAGGCTACCAAGGGAAGACTCCAGAGGTCTGGAACTCGTGGACATAATCTGTTATGAAGTTACAGATTTGGCCACAAACAACGTTTTGAAGGCTCTAGAGTAGTTGAAATCTCTAAGAAAGAAATGTAAAGGATAAGAGAGGATAACAAGAAACAAAATCCTAGAAAACCCCAACTATTCCAGAAAGAATCCAGTTTCTCACCTGTAGCAGTGACATCCGTCTACCTTCCTTAAAAGCCTTCTTGAGAAAGGGCTTCTTCTATGTGTAAAGCACAGTGTAATGCAGAGTCGTTTCTGGAAAATCGACTCATCGCCTACCCTATGTAAAATGTTTAATTTCTTCTGGGTGATATATTTCCACCAGAGAAAAAATAAACTTGTTGAATGGTGTATACGTTTAACAAAAAATTGAAATAATGCCAATAGTTCATCAGAATTACTGCCACAGATTTCCTGGCCACTAGGCTCAGGTCTTGGATGTCAGTAATTTCACTTGGACGTCATGCTGTTGGCTTTGGATAGAAGGCTTTATGCTTGCAGCCCCCAGGACACCCTGTTTCTAGCCTTATTTATGCTCCCTTGTCACTCTTCTCCCTTCAGCCTAATAAATTATCGCCATGAGGCTTACCTGCCTTATCAGGAATCGGCATGAAAGACTAGTTCTCCCTTTTCTCTTTAAAGCAAAGGAAAACTTCCCAGTGTTAACATGTAGCAAAAAAGAAAGAGAGAAACGCCTGTTGGGTCCGCCTCCCTGGCTGTTGCTACCTTGCCGTGTATGACACACAGATAGAGGGAGGTCTGAGGAAGTGCTCGAGGCAGCCAGAGAGCGGCTCCGTCCCCGTGGTAACCAGGAGCCCCTCAGCGCAGACCGCTCTTCCTACTTTCTCCCGTGGTTCTGTGTGACTTTGAGAAGAGCTGGTGAATGATTTCTCAGCGTGTGCCTGCTGAGGCGAGCCAGACGGAGCGAGAGGACCCCCGCCGAGCCTGGGGCAGAGAAGCCAACGCGGACCTCACAGGGCTGGAACTGGCTGGACTCTTCCATGCAATTTTTGAAGTCAGGGAAACAGCATTCAAATTATTATCCTATTGTGCTGCTGGGCGCTCAAGGAGGGGGTTTCTGCATTGGCTTAATAACCATGCGAGACGGGGCTAGTCACAGAGCAGCCAAGTGTGCCTGCTTCACACGGATCCTGGGGACCAGCGTAAGTTCTCCTGCTACTATATTTTAATGCTGTGTGATTTTCTTTCTTTCTTTCTTTTTTCTGGTTTGAAATCATACTTGGTCAAAATGGAATCATTTCCATGAGAATTGCTGGGGTGGAAAGTTATCTACTAATCTCCAGGACTTTTTCTTTTTCCTTTTATTAACTAAGCACCATAATACAAGCTGAAATTCCTGACAGCAACTGCTGTGGCTCTTCAGATTAAGACTGACTGAGAACTATAGCCTAAAGTGTACCCAGTTACTATGGAATTAACATTGGTCACAGTTTTAATTTACTGTTTTAACGTCAACCGCACACGTCCCCAATGGTTTGGATCCCATGCTGTTTTAACACCATGGCTCAACTTGTGGGATCAGCATATTCAACTAAAGCAGATATAGCTAAACAAGACTTCTACTAGTTACAAAACTTTTCTTCTTTGGCCAGGAAAGCATTTGTCTTCCTAAATTCTCAGAACTCTGCAGCATCTGTGGTAAAAGTTTGTTCTGGTTGCATTTTTTTTTTTTTTTCGGTCATCGCCTTGCTGAAAACAATACAACCCAGCAGTGAACTGCAATGAAATTGTGAAGGGAGGAGATATAAAGAGCCATCACAGTTCTGTAACTGCTATTATAATAATGGGAGAGAGAAAGCCAGCCAAAGGAGCCCCTTATGTACACCAGCTCCAACACAGTGCAGTGCGGGGACACCAAGATGAATGGTGAGCAGAGGCTGTAACTTGTGAGTCTTTCAACACTTCATTTGCTACAAGTTCTGGCGTAGACATGGATATTCCTGGTGAAGAAAACAGTTCTTTGAGCTCAACTCCGAACTCCTTAATGCAATTAAATGATGACACAAGATTCTACAACGCCTTTAACTCTGGAGAAGCGAACATTTCTGATGCATTTAACTGGACAATAGACTCTGAAAATCGAACCAATCTTTCTTGTGAAGGGTGCCTCCCCCCAACATGTTTCTCCTTGCTTCATCTCCAGGAAAAAAACTGGTCTGCTTTATTGACAGCTGTAGTGATTATTCTAACCATTGCTGGAAACATACTTGTCATCATGGCTGTGTCCCTAGAGAAAAAGCTGCAGAATGCCACCAACTATTTCCTGATGTCCCTTGCCATAGCTGATATGCTGCTGGGTTTCCTGGTCATGCCCGTGTCCATGTTAACCATCCTGTATGGTGAGTGGCGTTCCTTTCCTAGCTGTGCTCATGCTGGTCATGAAGAGCATGTGCATGCCATTAGCAGTTAGCAGAGAAGGACAAGGGATTCAACTGTAATAGGAGGCTTTTTTTTTTTTTAAATAGACTAGAGTCCACCACATTATGTTACTTACTTTTGAGCTCTTAAAATGATGTTTCACTTGGAAAGAAAATCAGAAACCTATTATCTATGATTATTAGTTTTTAGCTTTCAATCTGACACATCATGTAGAGAGAATTATAAAGTCGTGTGCTTTAAAACATATACTTTATGTGTGAGTGATTGTAAATATCCCAATATAGTCATCAAGCAGCAATGTACCATCATTCTGAATCTGCTTGGATTTTTGCTCCTTTATTCCCACCCAAATATTTCAGCCTTGGGACAGAACAGTGTTATTTTTGTCACAGGCTCCGGCACTTCCAATGGAGTGGTAGAACCTTTCAATTACCTTGGAATGTTAGCAGAGAGAGCATTAGCATGGAGTGGGTTTAATGTTAAAATATTCAGAGTCTCCATTAGAATAAACGAAATACTCTGGTTTTAATTGTTCCCTGCCCCAGAGAACCTAATTTGGAAATGTGCCTTTGAATTATTCCCTAAACTCTTTTAAAATGCATATGCATAAACTCCTCCAGTCTGGTTTGAAGGAGGGTGGAAAACAAATGGAAAGAGATTGATCCTACTTTCCTCTCAACAGTTTGATACAGTCAAACATCTCAGCAAGTCAACAAACACTGGAACAGCCTCATCGGCGAGCAGAATGAAATATTCTTTCCACCTTATGAGTAATATAGGCAAATTTCTCCTTAGAGAGCGAAGGAGAGAACTTGAGACTGCTGACTTGGGCACATCAGCAGCTTACCCAGACCTGGAGACAGGTTGAGAGCTGTCTTTAAGAAAGGATTATCTGGCCAACTTTTCGAGACAAAAAAAAAAGCACTCAGCCCTGACGAATGTAGAGGAGGAAGTAAGTGAGCCAGCAGAGCTGGCATAAGTCTGTACTGGGTTGCTAATGCTCACGTAAATCTAAGTCCCCACTTAACTATTCAAATATCTCACGGAAATATTAAATTTGTCTGTCATTTCTCAGGCATTCTGGAGAGGTTTTGCACTTCCTGAAAACCCTGCTCGCACTCAGATGCAAATTCCAGGTGTGTGGGGGGTGGGGGTGTGGGAGTGACGTGCAGGAATTAAAAGTGATACAGGAGGGCGGGGAGGCCCCGGGGGACGGGTGGAGCAGGCCCGGACGGTTATCAAGGACCACGGGTTGGCACCACTAGCTCGGGTTGCAAGGGCGTCCCCTGGTGGCAGCCGCTCGTCCAGAAACCCTTCCGCATCCGCAGATCCTCGCGCCTCCCCCAGCCTGCGGTGCTCCCCGCGGTCTTGTCCAAGGAAACGTGCACTCCTTATCCTCACCGCAGAAACCCGGACTAAGGCCCGCGGCTGCCTCTTTCCAGAGACAGCCCCTCCTCCAAGAGCCAACATCAGCTCTAAACAGGCCGAGCGGATTTCCCCTCAGGCTCTGCACTGCTAAAGAAAAAGCATTCTTAAAAAAATTTTTTTAAAATTTTTTAAAATAAGAAAAGGCATTCCTTTCAGCTCAAACATTTTGCAAATAATGCAAGTGAAAGGTTCTAAATTAGGGCGGTCTTCTGCACCCTTTCCTTTTCTAATTATCCCCAGTGACATCTTGGAAGTCAGAGTACGTTCACATGTTGAGTTTGTGCAGCTTTGGGGTCTGTGATATTGTGAAGGAAGAGCGATCTTTATCATTTTCCTTTTTACATGCAGGCAGAGCTTACACGATTGCTTATACTGCTACCAAAACTAGCCATTTATAGAACCGTTTGCACCCTTCCAAAATACACAAGAGGACACTTTGCTGATATCCATAAGATGTCTTCTGTCTTCCCAACATAGCAGGTGAACTGCAGTGCTTCTTATATACTGAAATCTTCAGAGACCTTTAAAACACGTTTTCGCTCCGGACACACCTGGGGTCGCCCTCGGTTTGGCCTGGTCTCTAAAGCTCTCCAGCGGATTCTGCGTGCAGCTATTCTCCAGGTGTAGCGTCCCTTGTTCAGCGTTGTCTTCCATTTTCCCATGCTCTCCACATTTGGGTTTAACACTCCAAGAATTATTAGGTAATTGTTTTTCGTTTTTACAAGTAAAGGCAAATCCCCAATCTGGATTGTTAATCATTTAGTCATTTGCACCAATACCACGTATTGCCATCGTTGTGTGAAAGCAAAGGCTCACAATAATGACTAAGATGGGACTTAACCTTAGAAGCTGAAATCTGGAGGAAGAATTGCGAATAAATAATGACAGTACACTTTGAGGGGTGCTCTTGTAAAGCAACTCAAAACACATCATAACTCTGGGTCATAAGTAACTTTTTAAAATAGTTTTTGCTGAGTGGCAGGACGGTGAGAGAGAACCCCTGAAGAGGCACAATTTGAGTTCATCACATGAGAGTAATATAATTTCAGACACCAGAAAAACTCAGACCTTGTATTCATCAATCAGTGTAGTAGTTCAGCACATTTGCCATTAGAGTTTATCCTGATGTTGAAAATCCTTCATATTGCCCTTTGCAGTCACCTGTGCCTGTCTCCACAATGGAAACTTCTGTTCTGGAACATAATTCTCACGCCTCAGGAAGCGTGAGGTGGCTTACTTGACACTCAGTTTTTGTGTTGTAGGGTACCGGTGGCCGCTGCCTAGCAAGCTCTGTGCAGTCTGGATTTACCTGGATGTGCTCTTCTCCACGGCCTCCATCATGCACCTCTGCGCCATCTCGCTGGACCGCTACGTAGCCATCCAGAACCCCATCCACCACAGCCGCTTCAACTCCAGAACTAAGGCATTTCTGAAGATCATTGCTGTTTGGACCATTTCCGTAGGTAAGTGGAAACATCTGTCAGAATCTCTCTTGGAATGACAGTTCATGCTTTCCCAGGAGACTTGTTCTGTTTTGTTGCACTGAAACCTGACATCCCGAATCTATCATTTTGTGTGTTGCAAAATATGTCCCAACAATAGTAATTATCAGATTTGCCTTAGGAAAGGAAAATCTGCTTGTGTCACTGACTGACAACATACATTTGTATTGCTTTGCAAAAGGTAAGAATAAAAACACCGGTAGAGGCAAAATCAGTCATAACAGCCACTTTCCCCTTCACTCGATTTCATGTTCACCAGTCTACATCTTGGGTGCCCCATAGACAACTTTTACGGTCACTGTCAGGGCACAGATTCTTGTACTAGAGAACATAGATGTCCGGAGTTCAGAGAGAGGTTCCAGGGACCACAACTCAGAAGGAAGAGGTAAGGACAGAAGAAGGTGGCAACCTGCCCAGGGGCGAGGCTCTTCAACCCGCCTGTGCCTCTGGGCTTCTTCCTCCTCTTTTAAGGCCACACACCAAAGGATTTCAACCCACCTCGGTCAGGTTGATTCTTGAAGTATTGATCTTCTGTCACACACTTAACAATCTGGAAAGGCCAGGTAATGGAAGTTAAAGGGGCAAGTTCCCACACAGCAATTGTACCTGTCACCTCAGCGGGCTTGGTTTTAACCAAAAATTCCCTGAGACTTGTTGCAAAGGATCAAAGCTTTTCTGGCAAAAATTATTTACTTAAGGTCTACCTCCATGAGAGACTATGAAACATGCTAAGAGGATGAAGTTCAATTATTTGTGTGAGGCTACTCACAGTTTTGTAGTAACAACATCAAACAAAGGTCACTAACATAACCATGTAACATGTATTCAGGCTCCATTATTTCCTTCCCTGCTAACAATGAGAACCAACAATCAGCAGAGTAGCTTTTACCATTTTATAGATGAAGAAACTGGAATCTTAAGAAAGTAAAATGAACTGTGCAAAGCCCCACATCTTGCACATGTGCAGTGAGAGTTTTCTAATTATGATCAGAGCAATAAATAGTAATACTTGTATAGTTTCCAAATTTTTGAAAAGTCTTAACTGTTTTCCATTTTGAACTCCACTTTATGGTTTGAGGTAAGGAGCACAGAAGATTCCATTGTGCTTTTTTGATTTGTTTGGAAATCTAAGGATAGAGGTCTTGTGGTTGCTGGGTCACACCTCCAACTTGTATCAGGGCTGGGTCTGTAGGTTTCTGACACGGAGCCCTTTCTGCTGAATTCATTGCCTTCTTTAGGAAACTTTTTTTTTTTTTTTTTTTTTTTTTTGGCACTAAACTAGGGATTAATCCCAGAACCTTCACACTGAGCTACGTCCCCACCCTCTTTTTTGGTTGTTGTTTTATTTTGTTTTGTTTTTATTTTGAGACAAGGTCTTCATAAATTCTGTAAGCTGGGCTCTTGCCTCCATCTCCCAGAGTGTGGAGATTACTGGTGTACACCATTACACCTGGCAAAAAATGGTTTGTTTTGTTTTTTCCCCAAGAAAACACTTGTGATCTAGGACTCATTCCACTGAGAACAAGAGAGTAAAGGGCCAGCAGTTCTCAGTTTCCACTGCACATCAACCTCTCTGGAGAACATTCTAATTGGTTCAGTGTGGCACCCAGTGATGATAAGGGATAGCCAGGGGTGAGGACTGCTGAAACAGATGGTCAAAGGGGAAGATACAGTGGCTAGAGAGTCACATATATTGCAGATGAAGCAGCAAAGTTCTCAGTAAAGAGAACTCCCCCAGTAGATCATCCCACTGGTGAGGTAGAAACTGGGAAGGTCAAGCATCTTTCACTGTCAGCCACAAGTCACCCACCTTAGTCAAGCTTTATAATAGTTCCATTGGTAAAAGCTAACAGTTGTTTTTTGTTTGTTTGTTTTGTTTTGTTTTGTACTGGGGGGGTCGAACTGAGCTAAATCCCCGACACAGAAGCTAACAGTTTTTGAACATCCGGTACAGACCCAGTAGTGTCCAAAACACCTTACAGAAAATCAGCTGAAGAGAAGTTAAGTCACATAGGATGACATCGCTTACAAATAGGAGTCAATCCGGGACAGTCTGACTCCAAAGCCCATGCTTGATATACTACCCAATAAGGCAGTCTGCCTCTGGGTCTTTCTGGCAGGCTGCAGTAGTTGTGGCGGTGCTGGCCAAGGGTCATCATTCATCTTTTTGGCCAAAAAAATCGTATTACATATCTGTTATGTCCTTGGCACTGGATGTACTGGATGCTTTTGTTAAAGCAAATCTGATGAGTAAGTTATGCATTCAAAGATCTCTCACACAGTGCTACAGGAAAGCAGTTATGGAAACATAAAAGAAAATATTATACTAGAATTCTGTGAGGTGTACAGCTGAGGAGGGAGTGAGTGGGAAAAGCAGTCAGTTCTGAGAAAGAGGCTCAGCACAAATATCTTCCCAAGTTTTTTTCTAACATTTTTGTTTCTATTTGCCCTCTTCCCTGAAAATAAGACCTAGCCAGAAAATAATCAGTCTTGAACACTAGAAATCAAAAATGCCAGCCCCAATCAGCCTATCCTTGCCTTAGCTGTCATTACTATTCTCTTGTTCAGAGACTACTCTGTAAGGTAGGTAAAGCTGACTAAGCTGGCATTTTTGATTTCTATTTTTAAAGGCTGATTATTTTCCAGCTAGGTCTTATTTGGGGGAAAACAGTGTTTGTTGTTTGGGTTTTGTTTTTTGGTTTGTTTGTTCCATGCGTACGTGTTTCCAACTTAGATCTTTAGTCCAGCTGGATTTTTTAAAATTTTCCAGTTTTGCTGATGTATAATTGATCAATAAAATTGTTTGATTTTAAGATGTACAATGGATGTTTTGATATACATATATTTGAGCAACCTTTACCACAGGCTAATTAGTTAAGTCCCCCGTCATCTCATCCAATTTCCTACTGCCTCATGGAGCGAACATTAAGGCAAATTGTAAGAATATAATTCAGTATTATTAACTCCAGTCACTATGCTTTGCATTAGATCCTCTGGACTTACTTATAAGACTGAAAGTTTATATTTGTGACCCACATCTCCATCTTGCCCTTCATCATCCTGCCCACCTGCAATTCTGTGCTTCAACTTTTAGACTCCACATACAGTGAGATCATGTGATATGTATCATTCTCTGACTTATTTCACTTAGCACGATGCCTTCAAGTTCATCCATGTTATCACAAATGGCAGAATTTGCTGTATTTTTATGGCTGCATCATATGGAATTTGTATTTATATGTGATCAAAATGTTTTTGATTACCAACCATTGAAGCACTTTCAGTATCTATTGATATAATCATCTTTTCCCATTCAGTTTATCGATCTATTCCATTTTCTCAGTAAGTTTCTGAGTATTGAACTGAACATGCATTTCTAGAATATATTCACAAATACTAGGTTTGGATAACTTTTTGCTGGTTGGTTACTGTTACAAGATTTTTTTTCCACTATATATATTCATTTTTATTATGTACTTGGGTTTAATCTATGTAACTTTGTATTTGACAGAGAACTTCTAGGGGCCAGGGATTTTGCTCAGTGGTTCAGTGGCCTGTCTTGCAAGCTCAAGGACCCGAGTTCAATCCCCAGTACCAAAAAAAAAAAATATATATATATATATATATATTTCTTCAGAGTGGTTTAAATTGTTGCTCCATCAGATGATTATTCTAGAAGATTTCTTTTTTTAAGCATCATTAAAGGAATTTGAGTAATTTCCTTTTCACCCCAGTGTCTTTAACTATATAAGTAGGAACTATGTATTATTAAAAGGCTATGTAGAATTTATCTTGGTGTCTTTTTAATGATATTTTTATTTACATCTCAAAGCTCTTGGATACTTATCATTCCATTTATATTTGCTATCTCTTCTTTTGGCTATGAGCTACATAATCCAAGAGGTGAAAAATACATACAAATTTTAAGTTATCTTTCATATTATTTTTTAGTCATTAATTGTTCCACTTTATATTTAGTGATGTTTTGCTTTGAAAATCAGCTCCATCTGATATTAGTATAACTATGTCAGTTTTTTATTATTATTTTTCTGGTTATAGCTTATAACTTGGAAATTTGTGACTTTGTATTTAAAATGTGTGGTTCATAAAAGCATATAGAGTTGCATTTTGTTTTCACCCAATCTTTATCTTTTAATTGGAGTATTTATTTTAAATCCAATATAAATCAGATATATTTGGACTTAAATCAGCTCTCTTACAATTCTATTCTCCCATTTGTTCTATCTATCAATTTCTTGCCTTTGTTACTTTCATTTGGACTAATTAAAAATTGTTAATTCATCAATCCCTTTTGTAAGCTTATCACTTGTCCATTCTTTTAGTGATTAAAACATAATCTTTTGAACTCAAATAGTCTAAAACAATTCATTTAAACTTCTTGCAAGTGTGAAAAATTTAGGAAATTGTAACTCCATGTTTACTCTTATCTTTTGTGTTTTTTTATTCTGCGTGTATGTTTATAAAACCTGTAGACATCATTATAGATATTATATTCATTTTGCATGCATTTATTTTCACATAATGATTATTCCTGTTTCCATTTATTGCTTTTCTTCATTTTCATGATTTTGCCTCCCTGCCCATTATTTATTCCTGCAGAATTCCCTTTATAAACTCATGTTACCCTAGATCTTTATTTTGTCTAGACGTAAAACATTTTTATAGAGCTCAACATTGGCAGTTACCTTTTTCTCAGCACTCTATAAGTAGCATTCCAAAGTTTCTAGATTAAATTACATTGTGTATTTGTGAGAACTCAGCTGACAGTTTTATTGTTGCTCCTTACAAACCACTACTTCTTGCTACCCCTTGCTGCATTCAGATTTATCTCTGTACTTTACCACTTTTACTATGAAGTACCTAGATGTGGGTTACCTTTGATTTTATTTTACATGGGGCTTCTTAAATTCTTTTATTTTTACATGGGTCATCAGTTCTTA